AACAACCTGCTTACTTACACCTGTACTGGCTCTTCTGACCTCACAGATCATTTGTTGAAAAATTCATGACTCACTACGCTCTCCTAGGATTTACTCCGGAATCAAAGTAGCTGCATTCACTGTGTGCCGAGCTCAAAGTGGGCCACCATGCATTAGTTGCTGGCACTGAAAAGCCTTTATAGCTTTGATACATCATGCTTAAACTTCAATTACAAGATCAAGATAGTTGAAGTCTGTGGTGTATTCCTAACAAAAGAGCATTTTTGAAACCAGCTGCTTCTTTCAACAAAGAATTTTTGTTGCTTTCTGTAAATGTTGTCACAACTGAATTAAACAATTTATTTATTTAATCTTGCTTTATTCTTCATTTAAAGACTAATTATCCCCAATTTATGCTTCAAAATGTATTCAGTATTTAGATTAACTTCGCTATCAGCACAGAAGCCTACAGAATTCTGAGACCGAAAGACCGAAAGCTAGTTCTTATATCTGTTCACTTTGGTCACCATGAAACTTATAATTGAGAATCTCTTACTAGATTGAGCACACGCATAACGATTATGATTTAGAACAGAGGATGCATGAGACCAGAGACTAACTACTGATTTAAATGAGTCTATCTGTTGTAGTACACTTTGAAATAGGATTCCCCCAGTTTTGTTTCAATTCCAAACAGGTACATAAAAGACCTCCAGAACAAGTTTATACATATACTTTCTATCTGACAATTTTCTTACAACTTTTTTTCTGTTTCTGTACATCTAAGTATTACATCAATAATTTGATTCCAGCACAGCATATGAAATCTTACTTCAACATAAAGATGTTTTGTTGTTAAGCAGAATGGAATTGTTAAGTCCCACAAAAGCTCCCTTGCTGTATTTGTTGCATTATTGTTTCTCTTAACATAATGCAGATGTTACATACCATGAGGCATAAGAATAGAAGAGAGTACTTCCGCCTCTCTTAAAACCCTGATCTCCGCTTCAAGAGAAACAGTATTTCAAAGTTACACACTTTAATGTTCTCTTTAAAGAAATGTTTTGTCCTTTGTTAGGTTAGATGCTTCAAAATCTTCAGAAAAAAACTGCTAGTATCAGTAAATGCTGATAGCATTGAGCACATACTGCAGCATCACACAACTTGTTGTGAGAATCCAGAAATGTAAGAGACCTAATGGGAATACTGGCCATATGATAATATATAGCTTCAGGTCTTATGTCACTATCATCTATTTTACCCTTTCTCTTATGTCATCTGAAATCAGCAGCAGTGCATCTCAAGAAAAGGAATCCTTTACCTACCACAAAGCTCCACTGGTTAGGTGAAAAAACATTTCAATGTATTTTATGTTTTGACAGGCTTTGCAGCAGGATCAGATGTACACAGCCAAACCTTCATCAGTCAAACCCACCACCTTCCAAACATGATCTGAACCAACATATCATAAGCTCTCTAAGTTTTAATTTTCAAGGGAACATTGGTACAATCCAATAAAAAGAACTTTTATAAAAAGAAAACTTTTTTTTAAATTGTATATTGCAGAAAACTCTTCTCTTCATGAGGAAATGATGACTGTGTCCTGAAGTAGCTCTAACGAGTTTCGGTTGAAACTTTGGACCAACCTCAAAGCCAATTCAGATCCAATACACTCGTACATAGATGTTATTGAACATTCCTGGGATATGGTGGATCCAGATCAGCTTGCAGTCTAATCAAAAGCATTCCCTTTGGTAAGTGCAATGAAATCACTCTGGGGTGTAGCTGATTCCTCTTAAGGAAGATGTTGGGACCAGCCTAGTACAGGAGTAAGTGGGAGCCAGGTAATATAAGCATGTGAGCATTTACCACTGTTAAATTATTTTATATTGATTTTTTCTTTAATTGTAAAATTGTGCTTCCTTTAACTTTATTTCTCCTTTCTTTTAAAAAATTATTGTTCTCTCCATGGCTGTTTGTGGGATGGCGCTGCACGCAAATTAGCTGCTGTATTTGGCTACAAGTACACTGTCATTGCACTTCACAGTAACATTCTGTGAAGCACTTTAAGTTGTCTATAAATATAAATCTGACATACATTTCGATAGGGATCAAAGGGAGGACGTGTTTGACCAACCTTATAGAATTATTTGAAGATATAACAAGAGGAAATAGATGAAATGGATGTGGCTCATGGTTCAAACCCTCAAAGCTCACTCAGTGTTTCAGGAACACTGAATGAATAGGTACAAAAGTGCTCTACCTGTGTCATCACAAATATGATCAATACAAGCAAATCACAAAAACTACCGGCGCCCAGCTCAGGTGCCAAGCCAATCTTGTTAAGCATCTTGGGATGTCCTCCCAATGTGAAAAGCTACAACAACAACAATTTACATTTATATAGCACACTTCACGCCGGACAGCATCTCAGAGCACTTACATAAAGGCTCCACAAGAATATAAGTTTGTAATGTACTGCATCGGCGTGTGGCTGCTGGCAAAAGTAAATCAGACCCAAAAATGATTTCTCCATGGAATCCAGTGTGACACGCAGTCACGGGAACTGAGCTCCAACCTGAGATCTCATCCAAGTGAGATCCTACAATTTTTCAAGACAAAATGGGGCAACAACAGTATGTCATGCAAAAAGAGTTAAACAACACTGATAAAAGTGTTGTTTAACTTGGAGGTGTGCTTTTTTTGGTGACCGTGCAGGGGTGATGCAGGGAGAAAGTGCTTATCGGGTCTTAAAAGCAAAATCTTTCTGAGAACCTAAGCAGATCATCCTGGGGCGAGACACGCATGTTGTTATCTCTGTCAGTCAAATCACTATTAGGTAGAGAGGTCCAAGCTGAAGGAGTACCGTGCTATGTCAATAGCAAAATTACATTTTTTTAACAAAAATCTAACATACATTTCCAAATATCTGCCAATGTTGGGAGACAACTGTGTCATGTCAATGCCATTACAGTTCAGGTTTGCAAAACAGGTGTCAAATGATACTGCAACGTGTTCATTCTAAAACACAGCAATCTTTTACCAGATCTGAGGAAAGCTACCTTGCTAAAGCAGTACAACAACAACAACAAGGGAGTTGCCGGGAAGGCCGGCGAGGAGAGAGTTCCCATAGTCCAGCCTTGAGGTGACAAAGGCGTGGACCAGAGTTTCAGCAGCGTGAGGGGTGAGGTAGTGCCGTAGTCTGGCGATATTCCGGAGGTGATGGAAGGCGGTGCCAGTTGTGACGCGGATATGAGGGAGAAAGGACAGCTCAGGGTCGAACAGAACCCCAAGGTTCCTGATGGCTTTGAGAGGTGGAGAGTGCAGCCTTGGATGCTGAAGCTGTCAGCGCCTGAGGTGCGGAGGCGCTGACGTGAGCCAATCAGGAGGGCCTCAGTTTTACGCACGTTGAGCTGAAGAAAGTTGTCTCTCGTCCAGGACTCGATGTCGGACAGGCAGGCTGTCAGGACATCGGTGGTCGTGGAGTTGAGGGTAGAGGAGGAAAGGTAGAGTTGGGTGTCATCCGCATACATGTGGAAATTAATCCCATGTCTGCGGATGATGTCACCGAGGGGGAGCATATAGAGGGTGAAGAGGAGGGGACCGAGGACAGAGCCCTGAGGGACACCGCACGAGACAGTGCGGGGGGTGGAGGAAAAGCCATTCGTGGAAACAAAGTGAAGACGGTGGGAGAGGTACGACCTAAACCACTCAAGGACAGGGCCTTGGAGGTTGAGGTGGGAGGACAAGTGGTGGAGGAGGATAGCGTGGTCGGCCGTATCGAATGCTGTCGATAGGTCGAGGAGGACGAGGAGGCAGAGGGACCCCTGGTCACAGATGGTCAGGATGTCATTAGTAAATAGAGTAGATAGAGTTCCAATGGCAAACTACAGTCATGTTTCTGAACAGCAGGTGTCCTGGCTGAGGGACAACAGTGCTCTCAGTGCAATACCTGATTACGTGACATTAGTACAACAGATGAAGCTTTCATACAATAGAATCAATTAACAAATCCATAAGCTTCAAATTCCATCTTCGTGACCATTCTGCTATTTCAATTCAATGTTTTCTTTATGTTTTGTAAATCTGAGATAAATATTAACATGGACTTCCTTTGGGTTTATTTTGTTACAGAAGAGATGTTTTCAAAGACTGCTGCAAGTTTGTTGCTTTCAGATACCACAGCGGCAAACACATTCTTGGAAATAGCAGGCCAAAGTTGTGGCTTTGATATTATCATGACTAATGTGAAAAGCTCTACCACTAAATGTACTTCAATTACAAAAATTAAATGTTTAGTCCTGATAGCGAAGCATTAACTTCTAAGCAATGTATTGTTTTTTTTAAGCTTTTTTTAAGTAGTTTACAACTCAATTTTGGAAATGTCGCAATTGAAAACTTAATATTTAGTTGTCCTTTCCATTTCTTTTTTAATGCAATGAAATTTACTTTTAATAAATACCTAGATAATTACTGCTTGAAATATTTGTTGGCAGAGAACGCGTACTTGAAAGCAAAAAAAAATCATAAAGGAGCAGGAATATCTACGACAACACTTTTCATGTTTTCAAAGCACTCCCCATTATTGTTTTCAAAACAGGCAATCACTAACTTTAGCTTTATCTCAGAAAATATGTGATAAGTAAAGCGTGGACGAAATGACCAACTGCCAGTCGGCAAATTGCATGCATGAGTAGAGGTGTTTCCTGCACATTGTGCACTTGTGCAGCACGCAGGAGGTGATTGGCAACATATCCTGCACACATGTGCTGTGCAAGTCAGCATCAATCTGATGACTTATAAAGTCAAATACTTTTTAGAACAGGAGCGGGGAAGGGTCAGATGTGGCTGCCCTCTCTATATGGAACAATAAAAGGTAAATTAATTCCTACCCTCATCTACAGATAAATATATACATATTTTCGAAGGGGTTCTCAAACACCTTAAATCTATCCCATATTCTGAAAAGCTTGCATATCTTTTATGGTGAAAATCCTTTTCAAAACAAAGCTCAGCCATACCTCATCCCCCTTCTGTGGTCGCATCAAAGATACTCGGTTATACTGCCCACGCAACAGTGCCCACAGTGCATCAAGTCTGCCCTGGAAATTACAAACAAAGGCAATACAGGAATGAATCAGATAAAATATACTTTCACAGTCTACTTAGCCGATCACAAAAAAATTAAAAACCTGAATGATTGCTTCTGGCTAATACTTTTATGATGTAACTTTGACCTTGTTGGAACTTCAAAACAATCTGCATGTTTGCTTTGTTCTGGATTGTGACATTTTTGTTTGGATGCTTGGAAAATGACAGTGGTTTTTCAAAAATTCCACAGAATTCAAGTCATCTCACTCCTCAAGCTTTTTACATTCAAACGATTTTTCAAAGTTTTTTATTTTACACTATCCTATGGCCATTCTGCACAACAGAACATCTTTTAACGGGCTGCAATATATGGTGGCAGCTTTGGCCAACCCATAGCCCGTGGGTTGGAAGTGACCAGCAGAGCCGTAAATCAAGAATTATTTATGGCATAAATCGAGAAATATTCAATCAAAAAAAATTATTTTGTTAGCTGACCAAAAAGGTTGGCCATTACTGATATATGATAATCAATACCAAGGAATTACCTTAATTGGATCGTACCACTTCGGTACTGGTTGAGTGGGAGGAGTGGGTCTGGCTTGTGGTCTTGGATTAAGAGATTCCTCTTCATCTTCTGCCATTTTCACCATAGCATTTTTAGCCTTTTCCAACCTTGCCCCTTCATCAGTAGATCCCTTATCTCCCCAACGGACCTAATAGAGGAAAACAGAAACATTTTTTTCCCATATGTGATTCCATCCATTTCACTAGATTTAAAACATGGTAATTTACCAACCTCTAATGATGAGAATGTATTATTCCCCACCTGTCAGTTATCGCTAGTTATTAAATTTAGTAATTTATATTAAAGTCCCCTTAATATACTAAAAAAAGATATGCTTGAATGTGCGAGCAGCCTTTTCCCACCCACAACTTTTCTTATGTTGATAGTGTAATAAAATGCACAATGTTCCAGTCATATTGACAGCCTGAAGATCCCCTAACTGTCTCCAAGGATAATAATATCCTTGTGGATCATAGAAAGAAGATTGGCAGAATGGGCTGCGACAATTTCTGCCATCACTGACAACTGAATGGCTTGTGTGCATCACACAACAAAATAAGATAATTATCCAACTTATAAGCCAAGTAATGTTATTAGAACAAATTTTAAATGACACTGACAGTCAGTTTTCATTACTTGTTAGTGGCTGCATTATTATATGCCCAATTAGTCAACTCTTCTGCCTATCGTCACGTCTAAAATGACAATCTCTTCTTTGTTCAAATTTAAGTAGCATATTTTATTTCCTCTTCTGATATTTTGTCTACAGATCTTAATGCAATTCAAACCATCTCTTTAAATATGTGGATATAATTTGTATGCATTATTACATGGTATCTGTATTGTTTATGCATTATTCAATGTTTCCCTATGACTTTCCTCATTTTTATACATTGCTTCAAAATACAGAAGCAAAGGCATCCCTTTACAGAAAGGACATCAGAGACATGGAAAGGATCAACATAGAGTCAGACAGATAATAAGAGGTGTGAGGAATTTTAGTTGGGAAGAAACTCAAAAACGGTCAATTTTCATTGAAACAGAAAGTTAATAGAGAATCTATTAGAGGTCTTCAAATTCTGAAATAGGTTAAGAGAATAAATAATGAAAGATTTCCTGCGGCTTGAAATTGGTAACAAGACGCATAAATACAGAACAGCGACTTGAAGAAATAAGTGAGAAGCTTTTTTTTAATGTATTGTGATATAGAATATGCACGACCGAAAGATTGGGGATCCCATGAAACTAATGTGGAAAATCCAGGTACCCTCTGCATTTAAGGTGCGTTCAGCAACGAGATATTCACGTGCACTAATACACAGACAGATTTCAGACCATGCCATAGTTCCACCCTTTTTAATGCCTCTTTCTTTGATCAATACCTTAAAATTACCTCTGAACAATAACAAAAAATTACATTTTGTCTAGTATAAACACAGAAGTCGCTGGGTACACGCAATAGATCAAGCAGCATCCATTGAGAGAGATAAATGAATTAATGTTTCAGGTCATTGACCTTTCATCAGAAAATCAAACAGCAATAAAGTCGAATAAATTTGGCAATATACCTCCATTCGTTTTATGCCCCCAACACCTCTGCCGCCATAGTATGAGGCATCAACAGTTGGCCACTTCGTTTTTGGGGATGCATCTGGTATAGGCTCCTATATATTTAGCAGACAGATGTAACATTGGTTAATTTATACATTTGGACTGCTTTGGTTTCAGCAATACTTGTATTAACTACAATTTTCCTTTAGCTATACACTGAAATTGTAATGTAATGTTAAGAAATCATATTCTATGAGAATAATAAGTGTCCTTAGAAATGTTGAGAACACAATTTACTTTTTCTGACCTCATTAGCAAGCCAAAGCAAGGGGCATTGGATAATATTTATTCTTGCAGAAAAAGAAATCCAGTTCTCTTAAAAATCTATCACTTACCTGATTTGGTTTCATTTTTCCAGATAACAGTTTAACGTGTAATATTTATGGAAAATATAAAAAGCCAAAAAAGCCACCTTGCAGTCTGCTCTTGCACTGGCAGCTCAAGTATTATTAGCTCATTAATATCACTTTAATAAAACATGACAAAATAAACATTACCTCTTTTTGAGGTGGTGGTGGTCGAGGAGGACTTAATACTACCTGAAACCAAGGTATAATAAAATATTATTATTTTCATGCAATAGCAATGAAACAAATCATCTGCTATGAAACATTTCATTTTTACTACAAATTATAGGATTTAAGTTGTGGTCGCTGAGTTTTGGGAGAGTGAAGCCCTGTTGGGGTTTTTTTGCATTTAATGTGTGGCAGCATAGTTAACTGAATGAAGTTTTAAGCAGATGGCAGATAAGCCAATCGGGAGACGAAAAGTCACAGCAGCCTAAGCAGGTACTTAAGCTGCTGAATAAGCTACTCAGCCACAGCAACCATACAATACAGTAAAATTTATATTTTATGTAGTGCCTTTCTTACCAGGAAGGCTCAGATTATGGTGTCAGGAGACGCCCTTATACTTTCAGATACCCCATGCACCCTGCTGTCCCTCCTGCCTCTAAGATATTATGTCATACCTGAAATGTGCTGTATAAGTGTAAATTGTTGTTGGACACTCTTGTATAACTTCACCAACCTCTTAAACAATGCAATGAATAGATATTAAATAAATAAATCAGGCAAATAAATCACCATGAGTGAGTTTATAAATGCATAAGACACTCAGGGATTTACCAACTACACAGCCCAATGTCTGAGCATCATCAACCCCTATGTCAGAGCACAGCATATCAGCAACAGTAGCTATGTACATATCACCAATGGCCTTTTGTTGATTTTCAATTTTAAAAGCACAAACCACTGTAGGTCTGCAAAGCTGGAGACATGCCTACTTATGAGCATTTCATTCTCTTGCATGGGGCATCATGAAGGAAATAAACTGGAGCACTGTATCACATACTAAAGTTCAGCAGAGAAATTTCACCAATTCAGTGTACAGTTCTTGGGGTCCACATATATATGGATATGCATGAACATACTATCTTTAAGCATCTACATAAACTGGCCAATGGTTCTTGTATGAAAGATTCCTCAACCAAATTGCTCGTCTGAAATTTGACCATAAATTCACTTTTGAAAGCTGATCTGTTTATTAATTCTACAAAATTTCTCTTGCCAACATATTACTTATGGGGCGTAATTGCTTTATTGCATGCCTTTTTGACCAGACTTTTTTTTATTTAGAGGTTATTTACTCCTCCACGCCAACTCTCAGGTGTTCAGCCGGCATTGTCAAGCGATGTCCAATGTCCTGGCCAAAAATCCCCCAAATAAAATTGGTCAATTACTTCACGGCTGCCACATTCGGTCACAAAACATAGTCACTGCACTTTACAACATATTCTGTGAAGCACTTTGGGACGTCCTCCCTACGTGAAACACTCTATAACAAATATCTAAACTTCTCATAACTGCAAAGTTAAAATGGTTTTAATGTTGCAATATAATTTTTGTGGTATTTGATAATAACTTTAGATTTCCTAACCACTGCTCAGCTGTTTATGTCATTGAGCAATAGAAAACGTTGGAGACGAATAGTTTGTTTTGACACAGTCTGTGTCTGAGAAACAAAACTACAAGTAGGAACACAATACCAAAGAATGAGTGGAATATATTTAGTTAAGTTGCGTAAACCTATCTTTCCAAATTCCATTATGCTGTTAACAGGAAGCATACACAGTGACATTATCCAAGAAAACATTAATCATAGTATTTATGATTCATCATCTGACTTCCTGTTATTTTGTGTAATACATAAAATGTTGCATTTCTCTTTGTTCACACTATAAAAAATGGTTAGTGTCCTGGATAGTTACGAAATGTTTGGTGATGAGGAACAGTGGTTGTGAGAGAGTTTCCTGTACAATGTAAGTTTTTTTATAATGCAAGTCCAATGTCAACGGTGCCAAATGTCATAAATGTTAAAGAGCAAGAACAACAATAACAACTTGCATTTATAAAACTCCTTCATGCAGGATAGCAAGCAGATAACACATGCACAGAACCATAGACATTTATGGTACAGAAGGCCATTCAGCCCATTGTGTCCGTGTCAGCAATCCTTTCAGTCCCATCTGTGTGCCTTTTCCCGATCCCCTGTAGCTGATTCTTTTTAAGGTACTTTTCAAGTTCCTTCCTGAAGGACAATATGGATTCTACCTCAACTATCGCTTACAAGTCTAGTTTACAGAGATACAAAATTCAGAAAATACAAGGGGATAACTTTTTAACAATTGTTTAACCATCAGAAACGATAAGCTTCAGTCTCGACTCTCACCACGATAATTGCAGCTTCAAACGTTACTTCACTTTTTTTTAGATAGAATCTTTCCCTGTGTCAGAAAATCCACAGCACAGATCATACCTTGAATTTTGGTTATTTAAAAATCTGCAAACCTGGAGGTACAGTTTATACACAAGAGTAATGGATTTATTCAAATTCAGTCCCATCCGCTAACTCAGTTCCAGATGTGCAATGCTTTTCTGTAAGAATCTTAAGTGAATATCAAATACCACAAGAATTATATTTCACATGCAAATACTTCAATGGTCACACCTCACCCAACCTCTGTGACCTTCTTCAACCACACCAACCCAGTCAATCTCTTGCTCAGCAAACACTGGCCCGTTTCTTGTCCTCTGCCCTATTTCAACCATTCTGCCCCCACTCTATGGCACTCCATCTCGCAGTCCCTCTGACTTATTCCCACCCTCCCCTCATTCAAGGCCAATTTCAGCACAGCACTTTCGGCTTTCTTCAGCCAGCATTGCCAAGTGCTTTTGACGTCCTTCCAATGTGAAAAGCGCTATATAAATGTAAATTGTATTGTTAGGTATTAAAGCACACTTTCTTTGCATCCAAATATTTTGAACTCTGTAATAAGCATATTCAAAAAACTCAAAGGCAATCTAAATTAGTCACACTGTGCCTTTTAATCTAAACTGAATTTAACTTCACTCTTTGTAGGCATTGTGTTCAGCATGGTTGTTTCAAGTCTTTTGAAAAATAAGCAGAATAGTAATGCACAACTGGGAGTAATTAAGAGACACAGCAAGATAAAAAGAAAATTACAGCTGCTGAAAATATGAAAAAAGACTGGAAATAAATTGCATATGAAAGATCAAAGCGAATGTTTCAGCCATGTCCTTCCTGCATTCCGATAAAGAGTTTAATAAATAACTGTTTGTGCGACACCACGTTTCACCTACAAAATATACAGTCAATTTGCTTTACAGTATAAACAATGCAAAATACTGCAGATGCCAGAAATCTGAAACAAAACAGAAGTCGCTGGGAACACTCAGCAGGTCAGGCAGCACCTATGGAGAAACGAAAGTGAGTCCACGACCCTTCATCTGACACCGAAACTTGACTCACTTTCCTTTCTCCATAGGTGCCGCCTGACCTGCTGAGTGTTCTCAGTGACTTCTGTTTTTATTGCTTTACAGTATATTGTTTGAAGCTCTTTGAGACGTCTCAATGGTGTGATAAGGAGCTATATCAAATGCAAATGTATTCAGATAATGTCATAAACCATAACATTAGAGATCAAGTAACATTACCATAGTCCAAATGTCAATGTTGTCACTGTGAATGTTATCCCATTAATTTTTCATTATCATTGTGGACAATCGGCACCTGTAGCTGAAAACTCATACTTAGACAGTCTCAATTTCTTCTCTTTGATGGGACTCCCATCCCCACTACCCCACTCCCCAAAACAAAAAAATAGCCAGGCTTTCTTCATACGTACATTGTCACAAAACTAGTATTATCCTAATGAATCTGAGCAGTGCTCTCCCCATCTCTAACGGATATTGTAAAAAGCAGTCCTGGAACAGTCTCCGGAGGCACACCTCTGTTTACAATCTGTCAGTCTGGAAATGTTCATTGATTCCCACTCTCTGCACAGGTACTAATTGCTTATCAGTGCAATCCCATGCTTGTTAACATTGGCTACTCATATCGACAACTCTTAATATTCTTAGTCTCAAAGTGCATCATCATCAAGAACTAGCATGCTAACTAACATAACGCTGCTCTACAATAATAATATCATTGCATTTGATATGGTACCTTATGATATTAAGGTATATGATATATGATATTACATTGTCAAGATATCTCAAAGTACTTCAAAAGATATACTATGTCTATTTTCTGGGTGAACATGGCAGCTAATTTGCACACAGCAGTGTCCCACAACCAGCTATAGGGTGATTGACCAATTTTATTTGAGGGATTGTTAGCCGGATAAACTCCCTTCACGTTTCAAATAGTGTCATGGGATCTTTAACATTGACCTGGACAGACAGATAGGATCTCAGCTTAACTTTTCTTCGGAAGGACGAATGGGAGTTGCCATGACTCCTAGAACTTTTACAATTGTGAATTAACACCAATTTAACTTTCTTCTTTAATATAGTATTTATTCACCCTGTACACATCAAACCCTTATTAAATTATTTCTTCAATTCCCTCAATGGTGATGAACATTGATAGCCTGAAACCACATGCATTTTAAACACCACACACAAAAAATATTTACAATTTACAGACATTTGTACTCACCACTATACAGCAGAGTGGCCAAAACCACCAGAACAATACCAGCCCAATAAGTATCAGTAAAATTAGGATGGCAATGACGACAGCTAGCCCATTAGACTGTTGAGAAATATAAAGAACGCAATGTTAAAAAGCAATTCCAGATCTATAATAAACAATTCCAAATATTTCTAACAGCAGAACTTATTTGTATCTTTACATTTCTAACAATAAATAGTGAACACCTGATAACTTGTTACTTCAAGTTTTAGTTATTGGTGGAAGGGAGGCGGGAATGTGTCTGATAAACAAACCAAAATAAACAACTATTTGGGGCAAAACACTCATTGGATCTTGTGTAACGCAGTTAAAATGTTTGTAAATGAACCAAATTGTTTCAGTATAAGTATATGTTAACCATAACCACTGGCCACAAACCATGATTGAAAAAAATCGATAAAGTAATTATTTCAAAGCCAGAATTTGCTAAATATATAGCACTTGTGTTTGTTGTTAAATAAGTTGAATTTAGCCTATTTCACTATCAGTTATATTTGCATAGCCAAAAGCAGAGTCCAGCCAAGGCACTTCTCCATGGTGGACTCAACAATCTATTTTTTGAGCCAGGCAAGTCCACAGTGTCCCTAGGCACTGATCATGAATCACTAGCCTGACTGTTTTATGGGACTGGAGTCTGGCCACATGCAAATACAGTAAATCTGCAGCAGAGAGAGTGAACTAGTACATTGAAACCCGAGTTCTACAGATTCTCAGAAAATTGAATTCTTAAGCACAGCAAGTTTCTTCTTATGGATGTCTGCAACTTAACTGGAGATTCTAGTGAATAATTATTATGTCTTAGTAATTAATAATAATCCTTGCATTTTTATATAGCTCTTTTTCACGTCTTCTAGACGCCTCAAAGCGCTTCGCAGAATATACTGTAAAGTGATTTGACCGTATATTTGTAGGTGAAATGCGGCAGCCAATTGCGCACAGCAATAATTGTAACACTAATAGCAATTGTATGATTATCACTATTCTAATAACAGATAGAGAGGGAACATGTATACAGCACCATGATGTGGTGCAATCATATAATCCTTGGTGGTCAGGAAGAACGAGCTGTAGGTCTCTGACTTGTACCAGTACATCCAATCATCAGAACTCTACTCGTGTAGGTAGGTCCTTGAATTCATTTTGGCTCTGTGAATGCCTATATTTCAGGCTTTTGAAGCGGATTATGAAATAAAATCAATTCTCACTTCTACTACATAGTAAACGTGCTTCTTTATTATCTGGTGAAAGCCAAGTCCTCATACAGGATTTTAATGTTGTGCAACTCTATAGTATGACTTAAGCACTGAAACAATTAACTTTCTCTTGGTGCTCAGCCTGTATAAATAGCAGATGTGTGACGTTCAGATCTGTGATTTTAGATTTTATTGCATTTTCCCCCAGTCAATATCTAAAGACGATGAAGAGTTCTGGACGGTCTGCAGCCTATGGAGGGAGGAGTTGGGGAGGCCGACAAGCAATGAGTTTGCATGATCCAGCCTCGATGTAATGAAAGCATGTATGAGAGTTTCGGTGGCCTGCGGTGTGAGACAGTGGCAGAGCCGGGGGACGTTGCATCAGTGGGGGAAGGCAGAGCGGGTCATGGTGCAGATGTGGGGTAGAAAGGATATTTGAGGGTCAAACAAGATGCCAAGGTTCCGGACTGGTTTAGCAAGGTGTAGTGTGCAACCATGGACGGTGATGTTGTCAGCACCTGAGGTGGAGATGCTGACGGGAGCCAATCAGCAGAGCCTCGGTCTTGTTGACGTTCAACTGAAGAAAGTTTGCTCTCATCCAGGACTTGATGTCTGACAGACATTTTGTCAGCACAGCACTGGCCCTGGAGTCGAGGGTGGAGGCAGAGAGGTACAATTGGGTGTCATCCGCATACATGTGGAAGTTGACCCGATGTCTGCAGATGATATCACCAAGAGAGAGCATATAGATATTGAAGAGGAGGGGACCAAGGACAGAACCCTGAGGAACGCCACACAAGACGGTGCAGGAGCTAGAGGAGAAGCCGTTTGTGGAGGTGAAGTGGAGGCGGTTAAGTGGAACTTTTGATACATTTGTAAACTAATCTGCAACAACAGCAACTTTGTATTGTATGAACAAAGCATTAATTTGCTGTTTAGAAAAGTTTCAACAAGTGATCGTACTTACACAAGTCGTGGCGGTGATGGTAACTGAACTGGAGATGAATGTCTTCCCATCATTCAAACTCACTTGCACAAACACTTCTCTGCAATAAAGAATAAAAATCAATACCTGCTGTATATTATAGGCAATACAAACCAACCCCATTATAATAGTTTAGCATATAATCTGGGTATACTTGGACTTGCACCGTGCGCAAAACTCAGAATATTTCAAGCTTCCAGTGCTGTCCAGGAAGCTCTACTGATAATAATAATCCTTACATTTGATATAGTGCCTAATCAAGTCTTCGAGACAGTCATGGATTTGTAGGATTTGTTGGATTGACCAAATTATTATTATATATTTATTTATTCACTTATTTATTTATTAACATTTTTTAAGGGATTATTACCCCTTGAAAAGCAATCCACTAATCTACTAACAGCCGGGTTCCTACTTACTGCTAGGTAAACAGAGGTGTGTGGAGTAAGGAAACTTGCCCAACGTTTCGCCCTGCCAGGGAATCAAACCCAGGTCCTCTCACTTGCAAGGTGAGTGCTCTAACCACAAAGCTACAGGACTTTACCAGCAATCTAATCACCTGAAAGTCAGTCATTTTAGCGCTGAAGCTTGCTGGTGCACAAAAAGCAAGCAGTCGGTTACACGCATGTGCAGTGAATGGGATCCACAGTACAACTGCTTATAACCAAATTCATTTTACAAAGAAGTGTTATAACGGCCCACATTATACAATGTCCTTCCCAGTGTGTCAGCCTGGCTCAGTTGTTGGCCCTCTTGCTTCTAAATCAGAAGGTCGGGGGTTAAGATCCAAGTTGGGACTTAAACTCGCATAGTCTAGGCTGACACTCCATGCAGTTCGTGCATTGTCCAAGGTGCACTGCTTGCAAATGAGGAAGGCATTTCTGATGTCTTACAATGCACCTATCTGAAATGCACATATAGCCAAGTTTACTGTGTTGCAATATATCTAGATATCACTTCCTACATACTGCACCAGTGTGCAATGTGCAGGAAGTGCTGTTAACATCATTTCCTGTACACTTATCACACTGGTATTAAACTGTTTAAAAAAAATGCAACTAATGCAGCTACATTTCCCCCTAAGCTATCCTCAGGTTTCCCTACTGCCAGCTCGTGCTAGTCATGAATGAAAGGCATCAACTGGTCCATTGGTACAACTTGCATCACTTCCTGAACTCTATAACAATGATTGGTCAGTGGTCAACTGAATGCAGAGCTATTGAACACATTTTTCAATGGTTTGATAATTTACAGCAGTGTAGGAGTAGCAGTAATATTCACGCCTGTATATTCAAAATTGTAAATTATGCAATTTAACAAAGAATGCAGTTCACTGCTGTCATCTAATTATATCTGTGTGTTGACCAAAATGCTTCCGTATTTGATTGTTCCATGATGTTGGAAAATTTCACGCTTCGTAATTAAATTATTTTCAGTGATACACTGCCAAAACGTAAAAGTCAATTAAACTGCAATAAACAAACTTTTAAAGCTTAATTCTAGGTTGATCAAAAGTAACTGATGCTGTGTCGACTTAACTTCTTCCCAAATAATTTGATAAGTGGTTGAGGAAGAGTATATAGCTGTGAAAAAAATATTGCATCCAAGGCAATGGTTTCTGTACAGCAAAAAACAGGGATGGTGGTGGTGTAAAGACTGGTGTACAAGTATATAAATAGAAGAAGGCCAGGATTGATTAGTGGGAATATGATATTGCAAAATATTCTGGAGTTTGTGCTTCTTTACTTCCGGGGACAAGAGAGTGCCTATCACAAGATTAGTTCAGATGAAGAAGGCCCTTCGGCCCATCTGATTGTGTCCTTCCACAACACCTCCATGTTGTGCTCCCATCACAGTTTCAAGCTGTTTAGAGATAGAATGGGTGGGCTAGAGAACACAATAGGGCAGGTTTTGCATGGTGTGGGACAGAAATGGGCTCAATGGTCGAATTGTTTTCATTTACGTTTTCTAATGTTCCAATAAAGATGAGAGAAAACTGGGAATATTGTGTCTATTAACTCTGGAATTTGAATGTGAATCTTCCACAGATACAGAATGAGAATTGCAATCACATGCTGAAGATTCTTGGTACATTGAGTGTAAAGTACTTCGTTCAGCATAGTTGCCGACAATGTGAGTTCTCTAAATATCCAATTCAGTTTAATTTGTTTAACAGCTTTATTCAGAGAGGCAGGAACCAGAGTGCTTGGCATACCTTTCTGAGCTGGGGTTCGAACACACTGCCTGTATCCTACACAGGAATATCACATTGCATCCCATCAATGTTAAATCATAACCAAATCTTTCATCGGGGGCTCAAAGGTGTAAAGTTATGTTAAATACAGATTCTTTTCTTGTAAAAAAAATTGCTAGCTTCTCAATCTCTGAGGCCACAAACTAAGTCCTGTATTAGTTTGTACAATAGATCAGTCTCTTCTATGAACTGGATGAACTCTACCCACAGTCTTACTCTACCCTACCTCTGTGACCTCCTGCAACCCCTACCATCCGAGCTGCTCCCTACGCTCAGTGAACACCAGCCTACTTCATGACACCATCCTAGGCCCATCCCACCATCAGAGCAGAAGCTTTCAGCATTTCTGCCCCACACATCCCGACTTTTGAAGGTCACCTTAAAACCTTTATTTTCAACTACATTATTGGCTCCTTTTCCCCCACTTTCCTCAGCTACCCATACCCTCAGCTCATGCTCCCAGACAGCTCTGTAAAACACATTGAAATTGCCTCCTGAATTAAAAGGCACTATATAATTCTAATAATAATCCTTGCATTTGATATAGCGCATTTCAGGTCTTCTAAAAGTCTCAAAGCGCTTCACAGAATATACTGTAAAATGAATTGACTGCATATTTTGTGGAGGAAACGCAGCAGCCAATTGCGCACAGCGGTGTCCCACAAACAGTTGTGGATGAGTGACCAAATTATTATTGTTTTTTTTCTTCAGGGATTATTATCAGGCGTGTGGAGTAAGGAAACTTGCCCAAGGTTTCACCCTGCCAGGAATCAAACCCAGGTCTCTTGCTTGCATGGCAAGTGCTCCAACCACTAAGCTACAGGACTTCATTATAAATGGATGAAGTGGTCAACCGTGTTGAAAGTGGCAAAGAGGTCAAGAAGAAGCGATGTCAATCCACTTCAGTAGGTAACGCTCTTGCCTCAGAGTTAGAAAGCTGTGGGTTCAAACTCCTTGTTAGGACTTTGAGCTCACACACCCTCAGCTGTAGCGTTGGGGATCACTGCATTGGTGGAGGTGCTGTACTTCAAATGAGACATTAAACCCAGATCCCATCTATCTGTTCAGTGGACATTAAAGAATTCTATTCAAAAAGCGAAGGGTGTTTTTCCTGGTATCCTTGCCAATAATCCCCCATTTAAATTTATCATTCCCTTCATGAAGCTGTTTGTGGATTATTACTGAAAGAAATAATCTTTAGTGTCATATTGTACCACTAAAGGCCTGATTGGCTGTAAAAAAAATACAAATACCGAACACAATTTCAAATCATAATTTCAAATCAAAAAGTCTTCTATGTTTATCACTGTTGTGTGACCACCAACTAAATCCCTTTCAATGTAAACCATATTTTCTATTTGGCAACTCCTATATGGCATTCAGATTGAGATACTGAATCCAAGCCGAAGTCTTGCAAGGTTGTGGTTTTGCATTGAAAACACACGGTTTAAGTTAATGGCCTCAAAGAAGTCACATAAGGAATGGGCTTTTTTGATCCTGTTTTATTAAAAATTTAGATCAGTGATCAAAAAACTTGAAAATGTTGGAAATGCACAAGAAAAGATTGATTTTTGAAGCAGAAAGAAATCTTCATTAGGAGTCTTATGAAGAGTCCAATGCTAAATATTATCATGCCATTCTCCTTTAGATGCCGACCTTTTTTTGTTTCATACTAGCTGTACCCATTGCAGCTAAGCTTGCAACCAAAGGATCCAATATGGAATGTAGATTGACACACAGAGAGACACACATATCTATACTGTTCTGGGAGGACTCCTGTGCGAGGATTCCCTTTGGGAGGACTCGGTGCTTTCAAAATGTAATTTTGTTGTTGTTGCCGCGGCTTAGCTTCATCTGTGTTCTTTATTTTGTTCCTTGGCTACATGCGTGCTCTGTGATGCAGCATGCCACAACGCCATTGTCAGCCGGCGTGGCCACCAGGTGTAACTGTAGTGCGTGCGTACATACGTGCGTGCTCTGTGATGCACAATGCCGCAGCGCCACGGTCAGCCAGCACGCCACTAGGTGTAACCTCAGTGTGTGCGTACATATGTAGGTGCTCTGTGACACATGATGCCACAGCGCCACTTTGACTCAGCAGCGACCAGGTGTAACTGTAGTGAGAAACACAAAACTGAAAATAACTCATGAACGATGGGAGGTACCCGAAAACAAATATGTCCATGTCACTCCACGATGCAAACAATGAGGTATAAATCATGTTTCTATGTCAATCGGTTATTGATGTCCTTCTTGAAGTGCAGACAGACATTCTCGTTTTATTAGTATATTTCAGATAGATTAATTGCATTCCCAACTATTTTTCTTTGTCACTACTAAATCTGCAGTCAGTTGGCTAATGTTAAATTATAAATGTAAACCAATGACCACAAGGATTATGTAAAATTACAACAGATTTGTTTAACGGGAGGGCTAGAGTCTGATGTCATTGAGCCTCACATTTGGTTTGGATACTCTTAAGCAGGGTGTTTTAAGCATTGGTTTCCCCATGTGTAAGACACCCGCTTACCAAAGAAAAAGTCTGGTCATGGATGTGAACAAACCTAAGATCTACTCCCACTAAATATTTCAGCATAGCCAGCTTGAAGTTACAGCAGCCACCAGCAAAGTTATGTCCAGTGCTGCTTTGTAAGATAACAGCTTAACTCTGCCATAACTAATAAATGAGTCTTCTCCAATAAGAGGCCTGGGAGATGCATACTGTACATATAATGTTCCCAAATAGGCTGTTGCCCAAAAAGGGCATCTCTCTCAGACTTTTCTTTAGTCCCGAGATTCGCAGACAT